ATATATATATATATACATATACATATACATATACATATACATATACATATACATATACATATATATATATACCACTTGTGGGTTGGTGAGATAGCTCAGTGGGTAAAAACACTTACTACCAAACCTGACGACTGAGTTTGATCCCTGGGAACCATGTGGTAGAAAAGAGCCAATTTCCACAAGTTGTCCTCCAACCTCCAGACCCAAAATAAATAAAATGCAAAAGAAAAAATGTTTTTAAAGAAAAAAGAGGTACTTGTACATAGCATCACAATTCAGACCAGCAAGTAGGTGTCTTGAGCTTAACCTCTGCTGAGAACAGAGGCTTTTCTGACTTTTTCTCTGACTTTTCACCTCTTTCCATATTTCTCCAAACCAGGAAGGTGTTGTAAGCACCAATCTAGGGATATAAATATATTCTAGTGAGCTGGTGAATTGGTGAATTCAGGAATACACAATCTGTGAGTATCAAGGCTGGCTGTACATGGTAGAAAACCTCTCAGGCAACTAAGCTGATCTTAGTAGTAACTAGTGCCATACAAATCTTTGTTTCTTAAGTCTTTTGTTACAAAAGCAAAATTCATTAGGTGTGGTATTTGATAAGGTTGATTTAGACAAAATAAAGGAAGTTTAATCTTTTAAAAAATATCTCTCCCCACTCAAAGCAGTGAGTTCCTAAACCCATATACTGATGTGTCTTTGGAAACCAAGCGGCTAACATCTGTGAGAAATCCCATGTCCTCCCATCAATGAGAATGTGCAGGACCTGACCCCAGGCACAATGGTCTGTTTCACTCTGAGTAGACCACCTAGCTCTCATCCATTAGACAGCACAGACAACACACTGCCGATACAAAGGCAGTAAATAATTTACTCTTAAACCCTGAAAGCCATCCTTGGGGGAAAACACCTCCCACAGTCACAGCAGAATTCAAAGTCAGCTTGGCTGTCTAGAGGTGGGGGTTGCAGGATGCTACAGTCTAACACTTCTCAACTGCACTGCCTCTTGCAAGAATTGTAGCCATCTCTCTTCTCTTCTGTCACCCAGCTTTTTACTTAAACTTTGGAGATTACTGCTTGTTTCTTAAGTGCTATTCTCCTAGGGAGATGACACAGTGCTCACAAGACAGGCTCTGACACCCTGGCCACCAAACATCCTTAGAAAGTCCTTTGTTGAACCTATCGAGGCTTGACTTCACTTACTTTCCAGCTCACTGATGAGTTGGTTATTGTGTAACTTGACGGCACGATGCTGTTCCACCTGGTCTTCCAGTTCAAATATGGTTTCTTTCATGTCTTTGATTTCTGCATCACTTTCTGAAGCTTTCTCTTGTAATTTTAGGCTGGTTCTGCTCAGCTGTTCTGCTTGATGATCACAGACCTCTTTCAGGTAAGAATAATCTTTCTCCATCTAGAGAAAAAGGAATATTATGTCAGTTTAACAAACAACAACAACAAAACCCCAAAAACAAAATGAAAACCACTCTCGTAGGTCGGTAGGAAGACTTGCTGGACGCCCTGCTGTTCTTCAGTCTGGGAACAGCCAAGGCTATAAATGTTAAAAGATGCACAATGTGTCCAAAGAGCTGGATTCCATGCCTCTTTTTATAAACAGAAAGAAAGGGGCTCCTAGTATAGGCAACTCTTTCCCTTACCAGGGCAAAACAGGTAATCATGAAAACCTGGCCACTCTAACCTCACATTCTCTGCAGAGCAGCGCCCTCTGCTGGTGAGATTCAATGTTCCAAAGCCTGAGCTACAGATACATCTCAACCTTCTTTGGAAGAATAAAACATGTAACAGAAGACAAGCTACATAAAAATCTGAATGTTCTGGAAACAGAAAATCCTCCCATTAATTTCACCTGCTCAACTTTAATTACACACATACAAATAAACAAGATAATGCACTTAACAGTTAAGATGCGAGCTTAATAATTAAATTCTGCCATATTTGCTGAATCTTTTAATTCAGTAAAATGTGTTAACGCCTCAAGTTTTCTTTCCATTTCAGCAAGTAACATACATTCTTATAAAGTTGGTGTGTGGTCATTCCCATGCTTATTACACATGTGTGTAAGTCCCTGATAATATGTATAGGCTTGTTATGTATTATAAAACCTTACACAACTAGTTGTATTATATGTGTGTATTGATTTGGAAGTATTACACTGCAGTATGTAGTATGCCTTTGTCTTATATTGACAATGCTTATTATACTATTTTAGCATAATTTTAAATGTTAGTACATGCGGACTGATACATATTACAACAGATTATTCGTGTGTGTGGTGTATGTATATTCACATGTATGGGGTACAAATGTATGGTAGTCAGAGTTTGACATCAGTGTTTTCCTTGATCACTCTCCATGATAGATAAGGAGGTAAGATCTCTCACTTGAACTCAGAGCTAGCTAATTCAGCTAGTATAGCTAGTTGGTTTGCTATGGGAAGTCCCTGTCTCTACCTGTCCCTGTCTTGAGTACTGAGATTATAGGCAAGCTATCATGCTTACTCTGCATTTACTTGGGTGCCAGGGATTCGAATTCTGGTCCTCATACTTACACATGCCCATATATAAATGAAAATGCATCTACCACAGATACAAATAATCTGTTGTAATATGTATCAATCTGCATATATCAACATTTAAGATTATGCTAAAATAGTATAATAAGCATTGTCTAGTACATCATACCATCCACTGAGCCATCTGCTAGTTGGCACTACATTATTTTAATTAGCACATATTGGAAATCCATTGCCAGAAACACCATTCTATTATTATAAAAAATGCTACAATAAATATTGCCCCATTTCTAAAGCAATTTAATTGACATTAATAAATATATTTTCCAGGCAATATACATTTGATATGTAATAGATTCCTTTCTATTTTTTTTAAGTGTGGGGTCTTAACATCAATAATTTTTTGTCCAGTTGCAGTTCTGGCTGGGGACTCTATAGGAACAGGGATCTGGTCGACTTTATTCACAACAGTACACAGAACCCTCTATACATGCACAGTGCTAGGCATGGAGAAAGTACTTAATGTGTATTTGATGAATGGATGAATAAAACAGTACAAGGCGATCCTGCTGTGTTTTCCACTTGGGAAGGTGAGATGGATGGACAGATGAATGGACGGACAGGAACAGCCTCAGGACCAACACAGATCATACAGTGGAGCTAAGGGGCTGCACTGATATTTAAAAGTTGCAAAAGCATGTGGCTCTGCACTGTGCATATATATCACTGCAGGTTGCTGTCAAAACTGAAAGTTACTGAAGTATAGCAAAATGGCATAGGACACAGAATCTGAAGCAAAATGTCAAGGTTTAAATTCCAATTCTACCAAATCAAGATTTGGGAGGGTTTTTTTTTTTAAAAAAAAATTATGATTGCTATTTGGAAGGAGTCTCTTTACGTAACTTAAACTGCTTAAGTACTCAAAACTGTTCTGCTTCAGCCCCTAGTCCTGGGATTACAGCATGCTACACCATAAGGTTGAACTTTATATTCTTTTAATTCTTTGCCTCAGTTTCCTTATTTAAACAATGGAGGAGGTTTAATGAAATAATGTATTTACAGTTTATCAGTGACTGGTACAGTTTAACTTTGCCTGCTATAGTAACCACTCAATAAAAGCTATTTCCTTCTTCCAGAATTGCCTAATGTCTTATCCATAAGTAAGACATAATAATGTCAATCACAGTAAATATAGGTCTATTCAACCATGAGAGTTGGTTGTTGAAAAAGCCTAGAAGTCTTCTATCTTATCAACGAATACTTTATAATACATAGAAAATGACTTTTTAAAAAAAAAAATTGAGACATTCTATTTTTTTTCTTTTTAAAAAGATTTACAGATGATTGTGGTATACCGTGTAGGTGCTGGGAACCAAATCCAGGAATTCTGGAAGAGCTCTTAACCACTGAACCATCTCTCCAGCTCTGAAGCCCTACATTTTAGATGTTAGAAAGCTAATGTCTGAAAGGCAGCATTGGAAGGTAAACTTTGAGTCTTATGGGCTCATGGGTGGACTCCTCAGGCAAATGCACGTCACTTGGAGCCCAGAAACATGCACATGACAAGCAGGAAATACTATGGGTGTAGAGTAAAACTGGGCACTATGATGAGGAAAGCAGCTAAGCATCCCCAATGAGATCCCTGAGTGCAGCGGAGACTGTTGACCCTCAGAGGCTCTGGTTTTATTTCCTCTACATCATGATCATGAGCACCAAGGAGTGACATGCAGGGGGAGGGGACAGACGTGCAGAGTGTGAGAGCTGGTGAGCCTACAAGTCAATACTGTCTCAAGGCAGTCACTTCTTTCTTGATCTGAAACACATTCTCTAAGCTTAAGAAAATATTCCAGAAACTTTGTTTTTGTTGTTGTTGTTATTTATTTATTGTTCTTTTTTTTTTTTTTTTTTTTTTGGTTTTTTGAGACAGGGTTTCTCTGTGTATCCCTGGCTGTCCTGGAACTCACTCTGTAGACCAGGCTGGCCTTGAACTCAGAAATCCACCTGCCTCTGCCTCCCAAGTGCTAGGATTAAAGGCGTGCGCCACCACCGCCCAGCTTATTTATTGTTCTATTGAGACAGAGTCTCTCTCCATATCTACAAAGTCCTGGCTGTCCTGGAGCTCACTATTTAGACCAGGGAGCCACCTGCCTCTACCTCTACTACAACCAGCCAAAAAACTTTGTGTTTTTTTTTTTAAAGAGTAGTTTTATCATTTCATCTCAGAAGGACACTTACTAAAATAACAAGATGTTATTATTTTCAGGTTATATTCATTTTATAAATTAACAAACATATATAGGGAAATTATTCAAAAAGAAGAATGTGGGCTGGAGAGTTGGCCCAGAGCATATACAGTTCTTCCAAAGGACCTGCTTTTGGTTCCCAGAACCCACACTGGGTGGTAACTCCGGCTCCAGGGGATCCGATACCCTATTCTGGCCTCCACAGGCACATTCACACAAGTGGCATATCCACACACAAACACAAATAAACAATTTTAGAAAATTCAGCAATCAAGCAGCAGAGAACAAAGCCTTGTATTTATGACCACTGGAGTTCTAAAATGCCCTTTTTATGATCCTGGCCTTTCTGCTGCCTAGCAATGTAAACTTTGAGTTTAGTTTTTCTAATTTGGGAATTCTACTATCAGATATCCAAACATGGTTTTTGGTGATTCTTTTGAAAAATTATCTTCCAAGCTCTGCAAGCATCTTTCATCTTTGAAAACTAACTATTCAGTCAGATTCAAACAGATCATCAAGATTTCTCGGTGAGAGGACATAAAGAGTCCTCCTGATTCACCAACAATACTAAATCCAGGCAGCAACCTAGTGAGCTGTGGTCAGACCAGGCTGGAATCTTAGCAAGTGTTACCACTTCCTCTAAGCTTTGGGATCTTTTTGAACTTGGGAGAAAAAAAGTACTGTTGCAGGTCAGTTTCCTTGGAAATACTTGGAGAATGACATGTGCACACAGGAAATATTTTGAGGAGTGTTCCTGGATCCTCACTGTGGGAAAGCTATGAGGTAGCAGAGCTGTGATGCTATCTCATGATGACATCCACTGACCCATCTAGGAGAGGCCACACCTAGCATTTCATTTATACTGACCAAGCTGTAAAGGCCCTGGTCTTTATTTTCTCAATGGATTAGCCATATGAAACACCACCCAGAGAGGGTCATCTTGGAAGGGGCCCCAGTTAGGTGCTATCAGATCCACTGATCCTCAATAGTGGAGTAAAAGAGAGTGGGACCCCTGGGTGGAGACATTAGGAGGTTATGTTGCCATATACATATCTGGAGTCTCTCCCACAGGAGAGGTATGAATAACTGTCTGTGACGGCTTTCACACTGGGTAACTGGATTACATGGAATAATGATTTCTGTAAGATGAATCCATCCAGTCTTCATCTGTTTATTATGATGAACAAGCACTAAGGACATCAAGCTGGAGATCAACTATGAACCAAGAAAGTCTTACCATAGCACAAACTATCCCCAGGACAGAGAATGCAGAATAAACCAAATAAGGAAACAAACTTAAGGCCAATACAACAATATCACCAATACATAAAGAAGCAAAAATCCAGTACATCAAGAGTAAAATCCTGGTGTGAGGTGAAAACGGAGTCTAAATATTTTAGTTTACAGCCATGTATAGTAGGTTCTGATGGCAAAGACAGCATCTTGAAAAATCAGAGTCTGCCTTTAAGAAATCATTTCATCTTCTATTCAAATAATGACACACAAATTACAGAGCAGGGCAGGATTCGAGCTCGGTCACTGCAATAAATTCTGAATGAATCCCAGTAACACTGAAGCTGTGCCAAAAGCACTGTCAGAAATGAGCACATGGAGGAGGGACTGCCCAGAGGAAGATTT